ATTCTGACCCACAGCGCCCCTAGAGGACAGAGTGGAACTGCACCACAGGGTCTCCCAGGCTGTCAGTCTTCACAGAAGCAAAGCCCAAACCACACCCACTGCTGTGGAGTCCATCCTGACCCACAGCGCCCCTAGAGGACAAAGTGGAACTGCCCACAGGGTCTCCGAGGCTGTCAGTCTTTTGGTTAGCAGCCAAGTACCTTAATCCAGAGCTCCTTGTCCTGGGTCCTCATTAGGGTGACTTCCAGACATTATTTACAGTAATAACTAAGGGTACAACAGCCTGGGAAGCTGAGACGCTTATGGAGAATGTGAGCTATCCATTCAGGATATAATTCGTAATCAAATGAAAAGTAATGATGATAAAAGCCACAGAGCCTAGATGAGACCATGTGGTCTGCATGAGGCCTCCACGTGTCTTCATGGAGCAGGAGGAGTCTGAGTTGAACTTAGAAATAGGGAAATGTTAGGTGTGTGGGCCACAGCACGTGACGGGCTCCAGGGTGCTGTCCATTCAAGTCTTCACTCAGCTGCCATGCGCTAGGCGCATACTGACCTGAGAGGGTATGGTCCCTGCCCCTGGTCCCGCACAGCCTGAAGTGATGCAGGAGAAATGGAGGTGGTCTGTGATACCAGCATGTGCTCCAGCCACGCTGGGGCCCAAGACCCACTGGTGAGCTGTCGGCCCAAGTTCTGTCACCCTGGAGCACTTGCTGCGTTTGGTGGATGTGACACAACACTCAGCTTTGTTCTGTTATTAGTTCCTAAAAGGGAGTTGTCAGCATGAAACATGTCCCGTGAGCTTGACTTCCTTCAACGGTCCACAGACAGCACTAGCTAGATTCCAAGCTCCATGGAGGCAGTGGTATTGCCTGTCCTTTCTTTTCTCTCACATTTTGGCCGATGCCATGCAATGCCAAGCTCATCCACCTTCATAGGGGCTGTTTACCCGACCGCTGTGTCTCTGTGCCCAGCAGCACCTTGTAAGCCCAGCTCATCCCTGTGGGTCTCCCTGTCCTGGTGTCTGCTGTCTGATGGTGACATCTCTTGTTGCTTTTTCAGGTAGTGACCATGCCACAATATTTACGGAAGAGGTTTGGTGGCCACCGGATCCAGCTCTTCCTCTCCTTTCTAACTTTATTCCTCTATATTTTCAATAGGATCTCGGTGAGCCCAGAAAGAGAGAGAGGGAGGGAGGGAGAGAAGGAGGGAAGGAGGGAGGGAAAGGAGAGAGAGAGAGAAAAGAGAATAATACACACACACATATACACATCTAAACAGACACATACATACACACACACCTATATAGACGCATACAGAGACACACACATATACACACACCTATATAGACACAGAGATGTACAAAGACACACACATATACACACCTATATAGACACATACAGAGACATACATAGACACACACACATATACACACTTATATAGACACATACAGAGACAAACATAGACACACATATGTATACACACTTATATAGACACAAGGAGCTCTGGTAGCATAGTGCCTAAGGCACTTGACTGGTAACCAGAAGGCTGGCGGTTCAAACCCACTAGCCACTCCTCAGAAGGAAGGTTGGGCAATCTACTTCTGTAGTGATACTGCCTCGGCAACCCAAGGAGGAGTCTCTCCACACCCTTTCTGAGACCCAGGGTCTTGCCTGGGCTGCTCACTGCATCACCCTAGTGCTGAAAGCATGTTCAGCACTCAACAGATGGCCTTGCACTGGCCAAGTAAGTGTCACCTCTCACGCTGCATGGAGATGGCCTACTTACCTGATCTCTTTCAAAGCGCCTTGAGGACAGTGCCCAGGGTGTGGTATGTATGTGTCCTCAGGCCCTGCCTCATATCCACAGCATGGTTGGCACTCACTGTTCAGTTTAGGTGGATGGACAGATGTTGGGAGAATCTCTGCCCACGTACCATTGCCTTTGGAGACCAGAAGAGCAATGAAATCAAGAGCCAGACAATTCAGAGGTGGGCAGATGCTTCACAGCCTGTTCACTGAGCCACCCACCCACTGCCTGGAGTCGATTCTGACTCACGGCGCCCCTAGAGGACAGAGTGGAACTGTCCCACAGGGTTTCGCAGGCTGTCAGTCTTCCAGGAAATGAAGCCTAAACCACACCCACTGCAAAGCCCAAACCATACCCACTGCAGTGGAGTCTATTCAGACTCACAGTGCCCTTAGAGGACAGAGTGAAACTGCCCCACAGAGTTTCCAAAGCTGTAGCTCTGGTGGCATAGAGTCAAGTAGGCTCTTGACTGCTAACCAGAAGGCTGGCAGTTCAAACCCACCAGCCACTCCTCAGAAGGAAGAAGGGGCAATCTATTTCCGTAGTGATACCTCCTGGGAAACCCAAGAAGGGGTCACTATGAGTTGGATCCAACTCAATGGCAGTGAGTTTTGAGTTGACTCTTTACAAAAGCAGACTGTCTCATCTTAAGCAGCTGGTAGGTTCAAACACCAGCTTTTTGGTTAGCGGCTGAATGCTTTAACCACTGCACTACCAGGGCTCCTTAATAACAACAACAGGATTATTTAAAAAAAAGAAAAGAAAAGCACTGGGATGACCTGTAATCCACAACACTTCCCATGTTCACTCTGGTCCGCTACAGGACAAGCGCACTGGCCTTGCTAAGCAAGCCTCTGCCTTTTCCCAGTGGCCAGACTGCAAGAACAGGTCTCAGAGCACACTCCCTACTTTGAGGTGCCAGGGAATAAGAAGATAAATTGAGTTAATGGGTTAATCGCATTTACTCTAGCCCCAATGGTGTCAACCATGGCCTAACTCATGAGCACAAGCCTCATGGCCCAACACAACTAGGGTAGATGCAACCCAGGTCTGCCAGTGATGGGGTGGGTGGACCGACCTCCAGGTGCTCGCTCTTGCATGTGGATTCTGAAGTCATTTCTTTATGGGGTGGCAGATGGTGCAGCTCAGAATCAAGGGGCAGCCTGGTGGCTTTCCTTGTAGGTGGATATCTTCTCGGGTGCTGTGTTTATGAGGCTGGTGATGGGGTTGGATGTGTACCTGGTCGTCTTTATCGTGGTGACAGTGGCTGGCATGTACACCATCACAGGTGAGCCTCCTCTGGCCACACAGGTACGTATGTGGCCACCACACCTCTGTTGCTTAGCAGAGGCCCACCACCACTGAGACGGGGTCTCCAGCATCTGCATTTTGCCTGAGCCTGTACATCTCCTTGCCCAGAGAAAACGGAGGCTGGGGGACCTCCGTGCTAACCTGCCTCCAGAAATGAAATGGGGCTGGTGATGGTGCTTGGGGTGGGCGGGGCCTCTCACTACAGACAGGTTAAAGAGGCAACACAGAGAGCGAGTGGGCAGGAAGCTGGTCAGGCCAACAATGGGCTCTTTGATGGGGTCACTTTTTTTTTTATGGAACTGTTCTATGTCTTGGTGGTGGTTACATGACTGCATTTATAAAAATTCATAGAAGTGTACACTAAAAGTGGTGAATGCTAGCATGTAAATTATACCTCAATACATCTGACTTAAAAAAATAATTTGTCCTTGTCATACAGCTAGTTAGTGCTCTCATGTGTGTTAAGACAGGTGCAAGTTTGGGTAATCAGCTGCTTGCCTGAGGCCTACCATTGGGGTAAGGTGCCCAATTTGCTACAGCATTGCTTGGCCTAAGCCCATAGTCTAAGTGGACAACATCCTGTGTGAATGTGTGTCTCACAATAATTTCTATCAATTAGACTATTTGCCAATTCATACAACTCTACAACTCACTTGATTCATGCTTTCCAAACTTGCTGCACTTTGATTAACTTGGAAGCAAAAGCATCTTTGTAAATGTCTATCTTTCGTAGCACCTGACTGAGACACAGTGGAGTCTTCAGCCCCCGATAAACAACACTAGAGAAAATGAGATTTAGATTCAGCCAAAGGAAACATTTCACACAGTGAGTGCTGCTCAGAGATAGACCAGGTGCCCACTTGCATCAGAAAATGAGGTGTTTCTAAATCACCTGTAGTTGAATTTCTCAAAGCTCTGGGATGAAAAGTGATCAATGGCTTCTCCAAAGGCGTGGGAACAATTGACCTCATAGATTTGTAAATGCAGAACATTGTGACGGATAAGAGGGGGGCACCTTGCTTTGCTTCTACTACCTTTCCCCGTTCCCCTTCATGGACATGGGGATTCCTACGCAGGGTGAGTTGGAGCAAGATTTTGAGGCAATGAAAAATGAAGTCAGTATGAGTAATCAATTTTACATAGGAAGAATTTATATATATATATATATATATATATATATATATATATATATATATATATATATATATATATATATTTAACATATCTAGTGATATTTCCCAAATCATTCTTTTTTTTAATTTACTTTATTAATTTTTTGTTGTAATTTGAGTGAACGTTTACAGAGCAAATTCACTTTCCATACAGCAGCTCACATACACTTTGTCTCACATTAACTGCAATCTCCCACAATGCAAAATCTCCCCTCCCACTTCCTCCCCATAGTTACCTCTTACCTGTGTTCTTCCCTTCATGCACTCCTGCCCCCTGAGCTATGTCCCAGTGCATACACAGTCCTTCTATTCTCCCATGATTGATCTCTCCAAGGAGTGTATCTACCTAATGTAAATGTTCAGCTCATATGCCTGTCTTTTGCTTGGCTGGAAGCAACAAGAGTGGGTTCAATTCCAGACATGAAGGGTAGCTAGGGGCCATAGTCTCAGTGGTTCCATCAGGCTCTATCAGACCAGCAAACCTGGTCTCCACCACCCCCCCTTTTTTTTAATGATTTTTATTTTGTTCCACACTGTTCTCCCACTCTATCCAGCATCTCCTACATAGATCCCCCTTTGAGTGGTTTGACAGTGGTAGTCGGGCACCATCCAGTTCTTCTGGTCTCATAGGCTGAGGATTGCATGGTGTACCAGTTGCTTGGACTAATTGTTTCCGTGCATCTTTGCTTCTCTCCATTCTTCTTTGCTCTTGACTAGGAGAGATCCATCATTGCATCCAGATGGCTGCTTGCAAGCTTTTAAGATCCCAGTCACTACTTGCCAAAGTAGGATGTGGAACAATGTTTTGTGTAGTACGTTATACCAATTGAACTTGATGCCCCCAGGGACTATGGTCCTGAGCCCACAGGTCCACCTACTTGCTCCCTCTGGGTAGCTGGCTGTGACCAAGAAATGACCACAACTTTGTCCCTTGTCAGCTCTTCTATATACCTGGGAATTCTTACAGAACATACAAATACAGTTGTAGAAACATTATCTGCCAACCCTATAATGGTCTTGGGCACACTCCACCCTGCATTGTTGTTGTTGTTAGGTGCCGTCCAGTCGTTTCTGACTCGTAGTGACCCCATGCACAGCAGAAAGAAACACCGCCCGATCCCACGCCAGCTCCATGATCCTTGCTGTACTTGAGCCTGTTGTCACAGCCTCCGTGTCAATCCAGCTCGTTGAAGGCCTCTTCCCATCTTTCATCGACCCTCCACCTTACCAAGTATGACATCCTTCTCCAGGGAATGGTCCCTTCTCACAATATGACCAAAGTAGGTGAGACAAAATCTGGCCATTCTTGCTTCCAAGGAGCATTTCGGCTGCACTTCCTCCAGGACAGATTTGTTAGTTCTTTTAGCAGTCCATGGTACTTTCAGCATTCTTTGCCAGCACCACAACTCAAAAGCATCAACTCTT